TAACCTGCGTGACGAGAGCTGCTGTTGCGTCATTTCTCAGTTGCTATTGATCAGAAAGAAATCCTAGAGCCCACGAAGCTGACATTTTTTATTAAACGGTCGATTTTTATGAAACTGCCGACGTGAGGGAGTTTGAAGACGCGAGTGGCGCGGGAGGTATTTAACGTCCGGCGTCGTGGATGACTGTGTTTACCTACATACTGGTGGCTTCTGTGTGGTAATACCATCGATCGGAACCGTGACGTGTCCTCTTGTTGCCCCGCGTGGTGGCTTGGGCAGAATAAAACGACGTTCGGTTCGTTCTGATACTTCTACAATGAGGGTTATAAATGTTCTCGGTGGCTCTGTGATTTAAAAAGTAGTAAAATCATTTTTTTTTTGTGGGGGGGCGGGCTTAGCTGTTGGGTCTATTAGTCCTTTGTATACACGGATCACCTGTAACATTATGAGCTCTCAGAGGTGCAGTCATGATGGGCCCTGTCACACCATCAACAGTGCGTTCAGCCTCTGGAACGCAACCCGGCCGGCTTACTTTGTTTTGGGGCGTGGTGGTGCATTAAACTCAATGGCACCGTAGGCACGCCCCCCACCCGCAATGCGCTGGCCGGCACCAAACATGTGGCACATTAGTCCCTGCGTTCCGGTCCAGTGAGATCTGCAAAAAAGAGCATTGGCTTGTGGGATTTGTCCAGCTCTGCCTTAGCCCCAACCTCAACCCTAAATCTAGGTGATAACCCAAGCCTTGCCTCAATCTCAACGTAACCCCCAAACCTAATGACCTCAAGTCTTGCCTCAACCTCAACATAACCCTAAACCTGATGACCCCGAGCCTTGCCTCAACATAACCCTAAACCTGATGACCCCGAGTCTTGCCTCCACATAACCCTAAACCTGATGACCCCGAGCCTTGCCTCAACCTAAACCTGATGACCCCAAGCCTTGCCTCAACCTAACCCTAAACCTGATGACCCCGAGCCTTGCCTCAACCTCAACATAACCCTAAACCTGATAACCCCGAGCCTTGCCTCAACATAACCCTAAACCTGATGACCCCGAGCCTTGCCTCAACATAACCCTAAACCTGATGACCCCAGTCCATCTCCTGCAAGGTTCTAATACAGATGATGTAGGTGGCCATTTCGGACTGCCAGCTCTCTAGCTGTAGTACTTCTGAGTCACTGGCCTAGAGCAACTTTGTATAACATCTAATGTGCATACTTGTTCATGTCAGCCATTTAAGAAAGTTTTGAAGCCTCTGGATCAGTGTGATAGCCAGGCATCAGGGATTTTCAGAAGGAGATGCCAGCAATGGCAGTCCACACAGTCCTCTCGGTGCAGGATCCATCGAACCCCAATGCTTTCCATGCATGCACTGGCACCCATTTTATAATGTGCTTCTGCAGTCCACAGTAGGCTCTTTAAAGAAGACCTGATTTCTGGCAGCTGTGCCCAAGGGATGGACTGGTCACCATTATGGGATGGACTGGCCACCATTATGGACTGTGGTCTCCCTGCAGCTGATCTCTTCCCCATTCCTGACTTACCATGCTTTGTGCTGCACTGTGTCTATGTGGGGACAGCCATCTTGGTAGAGGAAAGGAGCTTTGCTTCCTCAGTCAGAGCTGTCACCTGATGACTGTTGGCCTGATAAGTGGCAATAGGATATTTTAAGCAGCAGGAGGAGAGATTCAAAAATCTCATGCGCAGGATGCTTGAAGCATGCAGTGCAGATTGTACTCCAGAAAGGAGGACGGTGAGCGCACACTAATGACATCACAAAATCTCACTCCAACAAGGAGAACAGTGACGAGTACAGTGATGACTTCACTCGCCAAATCTCACTCCAGTTCTCCTGAGACTAGCAGTGAGAGGCAGCAGTGCCTTAGATCTCACAATGCAGATATCCAGCTATGAGGCTGTGGACACAGGAATGCCTAGGCATCCCCACACACCAGGAGGTGCCCTCCAAAATTTCAGGAGGAGTTCTAGACAAAGGCGTACATATTTCAGGGTACTGTTCAGACTAGGGATGTCTTTTTTTTCTCTTTTTAAGTCTAGAGAGAGAGAATCTTTTCTGGAAGTCCTATTAAGGAAGCCGGTCGGTGTGTAATGACTCCCGCCCGGCTTCCTGATTAGCCAGGAAGTCATCTCCATGCTGCCTTGTTACCAGGTGACGAGGAAGCATGGAGTCGGCTTGCTGGCCAATCGGAAAGCCGAGGGGTGGGTAATGACTCGCCGACCGGTTTCCTGATTAGCCAGCTTCCCAACCAATGGGGAAGCTGGGTGGCGAGTCATTTCACATCGCTCGACTTCCCAATTGGCCGGGGAAACCGCTTCCATGCTCCGTCATTACCAAGTGAAAGAGGGAGCATGGAGTCGGCTTCCTGGCCATTCAGGAAGCTGGGGGCGTGAGTCATTACATGCTGCATGGCTTTCTGATTTGCCCAGGAAGCCAGCTCCATGCTTCCCGGTAATGAGGGCGCATGGAGCCAGTTTCCCGGCCAATCGGAAAGCCAGGCAGCGTGTATGACTCACCGCATGGCTTTTGGGTGAGTACAAGTACTCGGTACCGATACTAGTATCGGCATCGGTGCATACCTAGTTTAGACACATGGTTTCAGGGCAATGTATGCTGCACATATCTGCAATACAGGCGCCTTTCCTGATCTACTATCCCCTTTAAACCCCCTGAAAGTACAAAAAAC